ATGAAGCTTGTTTTCTGTGTAAGGAGTCAGCATATTTTCTCTTATATTCTGTTTTGCAAGTTTCAGTGACAGAGCAGGGACAGACTCTGACAGACTCAATTGTATCTAAAACTACCCTTCTCTCTATACCATCTTTCTGAAGTCCTGTGTTTTAGGAGCAAAGAAGTGTGGTCTCATCACTATGAAAACCACTGAATTTTTTCCCCCACTGATTTTAGCCATTTGTGAAATGAATATACTAAATTTGGGGGTGACCTTGATTTTGTTACCTTGTGATGTATTTTTCTTAGAGACGCAGCAAGTTAGAAATATGAACAGAATTACAGGCATGAGCAAAATAAAACCAGTGACTGTCCTTAATCTTTTCTCTCCTCACCCCAACCTTTTTTTTTTTTTTTTTTAATTTAAATGAACAGAGCACAACACAGTCCCTTCTTGGGTACAAGTAAACAGTAAACAGTACATGTTTTGCTGGTTAAGCTTTAGCTGTTTGAAATTGATCTTTTGGGGTCAAAAGATCCTCACTTTCCAGTTGTCAGTTCAAGCATTCTCCAGTTGACATTTTGTGGGGAGGGAAGATCAGGATTGTCTAGATCACATTCATTTAAATAGTACCTGTGCACTGTGTAGTGTTATAATTGTGGCTTTTTTGTTTGTTTGTTTTTATGGGCTGTTTTCCATCATGCTGCTGTCTGCACTCCTGTTGGACCACTATGCCTACAGAAGGTAAATTAGTCCCTTTGGGACAGATGGAATTGAGAACCTTAACTTGTTTCTGCTTCTAGCTCTTATAGGAATTATGAAGTAGTCATGGTGTCTGATCATGAGTGAGCAGCTCTATAATTTGTAGACAGAGGTATAGTGTGTAGGAGTCACACTGTTCCAAGGACTCTGCCAGCATGCCGTTCCCCCTTGTAGCTGAGATGGTTAGCACACCCACGTGATACTCCAGATTCTCCAGAAAGGTTTCTTTTAGAGATAGGTTCTTGGTGACTTTTTTTTTTTTTTGCGTCCAAGGCAGAATAAGTATAGTAGGGTTTTTTTTTAATGGCTTTTTTAGACTCAGAATTTATTTTTAACACTGTGCATAAATTAGGGCCTCTAATTCTGAGAAATGTGAAGAGGTTTCAGAGATTTATATTTATTTAACAAGCTAGGGAGAGGGATGAGAAGGTGCACAGGTGAACTCTAGCACTACCATGTTAGTGCCAAACCCAGTTAATAATGGGCATTTGTCTGTATTCTTGACAGTTTTCTTACTTTAAGATTCAGTAAGCCTCTAATTCACATGAACCGTTATTGTTTTGTGACCTACTGTTGTAGCAGGGACCATGAGATAACGAATATGCCATCTTTTTTTAGTTTAATGTTTGAACATTACTGGGTGCTAAATCCATTTGACTTACTTTTCTTTTTATATTCAAATTTGAATTATTAAATTATCCTGGGTAGATGTAAAATAAAATCCATCTTTCCTCCTTCCCAACAGAGAAAATGCAAATGAGATACTGTTCCTTTTGTGTGCGTATTAGAAAATGTTCGGGGGGGAGAGTATAGCTCAAGTGGTAGGGTGCATGCTTGGCATGCGCAAGGTCCTGGGTTCAACCCCCAGTACCGCCTCTAAAAATAAATAATAAACCTAATTACCCTCTCTCCAAAAGAAACAAACAAAATATTTATCTAGAAAGAAAAAGTGTGCGTATTTTTTTGGGCTAGCACCATTGATTCTGTGGTCTTTGTGTTGAAAGTGTTACGTGGCAGTTTCTGAGCATGATATGCAAGTTGAAATGTAGAGCCTAGGAAGTGCTTGATTTCGTTTTTAATTAACATTAAAACTTAACTTAAAAATTTTAATGAAAATATTGGGTAATTTTTTTAACTCAGTATACTTGAAAAATCATTGTGCAGTTTTTCTAAATTTCTTGAGAATTTGGTTCATATTGTCAAAAGGCACTAAAGAAGTCCCAGTTGTGGAGCAGGAATATCACACAATGTCTTAGCCCAGAGCTCTCTAGGTGTGATTTATGCGAATTTCATTTGTTACTCTTTTGTTCCTTTCAAAGTAGAATTCTTGTCATAGGATCTTTTGTATATTTCTTCCTCTTCTTGATTTAAGAATGAGTTGGAGGGTATTAGATCTTAGTAGGCATATTGATTTATATGACCTTCTTCATCCTTGCATGTTTTTACAGTGGGACATCCCCTCTCGCATGTCTTAATGCCATGCTACATTCCAATTCAAGAGGAGCAGAGGGGTTGTTTTATAAACTGCCTGGCCGAATCAGCCTTTTTACACTCAAGGTAAGTAATATAAACTCTGCTTTAGTGCAGTGGTTCTTAAATTTTTAGTGTGTGTAAGAATCAGCTGGTAGGTGTGGAATGAGGCCCATGAATTTACATTTCTAATAGGCAGGCAGGTGATGCTGATGCTGTTGGTCCTAAGTGGCACATTGATTGAGATGTTCTAGTGTGAACAGGGTCTTAGGAATTATTTAGCTATTGTGTCTTTATTCAGCTTTTCTTTATATCTTTGCAGATTGTATACAGTAGAGGGATAAGTACATGTGTCTTAATTAGTATTTTGTTTGTAATAATATTGTGAAGGATCAGTTGCCAGGCAACTATGTTTCCTACTCTATGGAAAATAACTGAAATGTGAAAAATACTTGTGGAAATTCCGAAACTCATTAGCATTTACTAAGTGACAGAGATTACAAAGGAAGAGAACTTAAATCAGGTAGAGTTCATAATAAAGCTTAAATGGAGCCGAAATGAGCAGCCTGCTTATTTTTCTACCATTTGTAATATATATCGCTGTCATTTAAACCAAGGGTTGGCAGATTTTTTTCTGTAAAGGACCAGATAAGTAAGTTTTGTGTACCACGCTATCTCTGTCGTAACCATTCAACTCTGCCATTGAAGCAGGAAAGCAGCCACAGACAATGCACAAGTGAATGGGCATGGGTGTGTGCCAGTAAAACTTTATTTATAATAACTAGTGGGCTGGATTTGGCTTAGGGCTGTAGTTTGCTGACTTCTCATTTGGACATAGTTGACTTGTTGATGGTTACAAACTGAAAATTTGATGCTGATCCTTATAATCTTCCATAATGTAGTTACAAATTGCAGTAGTCCATATGCAGGCTTTTCCCTATTAGTTTTGTCTTCTTAATAGACTTGTTTTCTTCAGTTAATTCAGAATTAAACAAATACCAACTATATAACCTGTGGTCATAAACTTGATCTTTAGGTACGTATCAAATGTGTCTTATGTTCAGATTCTGTGCTGTTTTCTGTATTGTTTTTATTTGTAATATTTTGAACTTTAAAAGGCAGTATAATGTAATGTCAGGAACTGAGCCTTGGAAGAGACAGAGCCCTGAGTTCAAAATCTAATTTTGTAACCTGGGACAGATTCCCTGACACAGTCAGTCCTTAATAAATAGTAGCCTGTATGGTATCCCTTTAGGTTTCTTATCCTTAATTGTTTTATAATGGCATTTTTCTATTATATATTATTTTGTATATGTATATAGTAGTTATATGTAATTACGTGTAATTATAATTACATGTATTACAGATATGCTTGTTAATAGAACATTTCTATTTTAAGGAGAAATACCTTTTTCTATGAACACTGAAAGATGGGAACTGAGTTGTCTTTGAAATTTGGCTGTGGGCAGAATTTGCATAGTCCATGCTTAATAAATATTTGAACTAAATTAAATTTCTTGATTTTAATATATCTGAGTAAACTCCATTGTATGAATTTGCTGTAAGCTTAGGGGTGTCCTTTTAGTCTGCAGCCTGTGTCTGAGATTCATTGATTGAACATGTGCTCAGCACGTTCTCTGATCTGTGTTTGGCTTTGTGTTGCTTAGTCTTCATAGTGTCTTGCTCATTGGAATGGTACATCACCTCTCTTGATACTTTTTGTGCTCTTTTTAGGTTGATGGTTTGCTTGTCTGGTTCCCCCCAGTGAGACTGTAAACTCCTTGAGGGCAGAGAGTAGGTCTTATGCATTTCATTATCCACCAGGATACTGAATAAAGTAGTCACCAATAAGCACATGTTTAATGAATGAACTTGTGAATGGCTGCATTTTGGTACTTCACTATTATCCTTTTGTTTTGATGTTTGATGATAAATACTGGTTATAATCTTGATGAAATTATTCCTAGACCTGCCTCTGGTATCTAGCTCACAGCCAAAATGAAAGGTGTTTCCTGCTGTAGCTTTGTTAGAATTTTAGCTTGGTTGATTATCCAAGTATGTCTTCTAAGATTTTGACCTGTTTATAAAGCAATATATGCAAATGCAACAAAGCAAAATGCAACAAGGAAAGTGGAGGTAACCCATAAATTATGCCATTTGTAACCTAAATAATAATTTATATTAATAATATTTGAAAAAAATTGGATTATACTTTTCTTACAGCTTTGCTACTTGATTTATTCAGTTAATGTATTTGACATGATGGTATGTACAGACAGATCTTAGTCTTTTTAAAGATTGTTGAAGGATTCTAGATTCCAGGTTATGAATGTGTGGTAATTATTAGTCTTATTAATTGCCTCATTACCGTTGCACTATCTTCCAGAAGTTGTGCGGTTATTTACTTTGTTATTTGGGAATGAATACGAAAGGATACTAAAAACCAGCTGAGTACCATCCTGATCACCTGCGAACCCAGGTCTGCCTGGTAAACATTTGAATCCAGTGTGGTGCATTTTAACCTTTTTTCACCTCCATTTTTTTATTTTGAAAAAATTTCAAACCTACAGAAAAATTGTAGTACTGCAGTGAACACATTGCCCATCTAGCTTTCTTCCTAATTGTTACAAGTTTGCCACATTTTCTTTATCCCTCTCTGCATATGTATGCTTTTTTTCCAGAATCATTTGAAAGTATTAACTAGTACTGGCACTTCACTCCAAAATATTTTAGAATGTGTATCTTAAGAACAAGGACATTATCCTACATAACCATGGTATCATTATTATAGACAAGAAGCTTAACAATGATACAGTAGTATATATAGTCCATACTCAAATTTTCTCTAGTTCTAAAAATACTCTTTATGGCTTATTTTCTAAATCCAGCACCCCATCAAGAAGCATGCATTACATTTGGTTGTCATGTCTCTTTAATCTCCTTAATGTAGAACAATTCCCTTGCCTTGTTTTGTACTTCATGGCATTAATACTTTTGAATAGTCCAGGTCAGTTGCCCTGTAGAATTCAATGCATTTTTCAAGGACTAATAAACACATAGAAATCTTGGTTATTTCCCGACTCCTTTATGTTTGTGCCCCTAGATTGTGTCTACTATTCCAATTTGTAGCCCAGAGACACTCAGTGGTCCACCTAAGGGTAGTTTGGTCGGAATCTTACCTGTAATAAGGGACAGGGAGACAAATTACTGACTCGTATTTCTCATTTTTTCCTTTTTCAAGGTGGTAATGACACCCCTGAAGTTCTGTGGCATTTTCTTTGCCTAATTTTTTTTTCTCACGTGTTAAGGAAAAGCGTGTTCAGAATAGCTTGGTGGTTTTTCTCTCCGCTGCTTGGAAATCTCTTCTAGTGGGCCATCAGGTCAGAAACCACGTGTTTTTGCTACTTAGTTGAAAATAGGAATTTTTTCAGTTCTGGATACGTTTCTGTGGCCTTATCTATGATTACCAAAGCTTTACTGATAAACTGGAGTCTTTTTGGGCAGGCCACAGGGTTCCTTTTCCGATAAAAGTTGTTCTGGGTAATGTGATGGTACATTTGACACTTTATATATAGATGCTTGCATCAGGCCTCAGAGCTAGTCCTCAGGGATGGATGGGATAGATGAAATCTACCCATGCTTTGAATTCTTGATTTGAGTTGCTTCTCTTAAGCTTTTCCTGAACTCAGCTGTCAATGTCTATCATTGCCTGGTTAGAGGTAGGATTTATATTATTTTTTACACTTAGGATTTCCCATCCTTATAAAACCAGTGAGAGCTCCTTTGTAGTGTTCTGCATCTTTAGGACTTTCACACTGAACTTCTTTGCTTTTTCTGACTAGTTGATTGTGTCATTGGTGAGGTTAGCCTGGGTTGGTGAGTCATTCCAGAACTCACTGTCAGGCATAACTGCAGTCATCTGAATATTGTTCAGTTTTATTGTGGAATGATGGTCAAATCAAGATATCACTTACGGCTGTTTGCACTTCATCATACCTCTTGTGGTGTTACAGGGCTCAGCCTTCTGGGTCCTTTAATTCAATTAACAGGCCCAGTTGAATCCTTTTAATATGTAGAATATTTAAAAAAAAATCTTGGTGAAGGATATAGATGATTACACTTAAAGTATCCATCCATTAAAATCCACAGTTTGCAAATAAAAGAGAGGAAAAAGCAAATGGAGGAAGAGAAGGAAGTAGTTATTGCAGTTTAGCAGTGTTATTCATAGAACTACAATTAAATTATTCACTTACAAGTCCATACTTACAGCAATTCCAAAACTATTTATATTACCATCAAATACTGAGGAGGAAACATGGAAGAAGTGTGGGCTTTGATACAGTAAAATCATGGAGTCTGTCATTTGAGAGGCAGTATCCGAATCCATGTTGATTTCTGATTGGTGCGCAGCAAGCAGAGTGGTCTTTTTTAAAAATGCAGATCTCATCGTACCACTGTCCTGCCTGGCCCTTGCCTACCTCTGTGATCTGCTCTCTTAGCACTTTCCCCCTGGTCATTATACTTCAGCCACTCTGGCCTTTGCTTGTTTCTCAAACACCCCAAACTTGTGTCTACCTCAGGGCCCTTGTACTTGCTAGCCCCGCTGTCTGGATAGCTCTAGAGTAACTTCTTGTCATTTGGTTGTTTTCTCCAAAAGTATCTTCTCAGTAAAGTTTTCTCTAACTACTAATCCCAATTCCACAACATTATGGGGATTTTTGTTTGTTTCACGGCCCTACCTTATTTATCTGGTTACTTGGTTATTGTTTGCCTCCCTCCACTAGAATGTCAGTGCAGGGGCTTTGTTTTTACTGTATCTCCTGTGTCTGGCACGAAATACAGGTACATAATAAATCTTGGCTGAGTGAAAAGTGAGATAGCATCATCAAAATCTTAAGCCAGCTAGTTCTTGTAATTCACTTTTCTTTTATATCAGTTTTATTATACAATGCGTATTCTGGGGTTTTTTTTCTTCTCAGCAAGTTGACTTCTGAGAACCCTTTTTTTTCCCCTTGCCCTCTTTAGAGCAGTTCTACATAAATCTGTGAAAGAATCTGCTGACACTAGAAATAAATCTTTCCCAGGCT